CTGGTCCATCTGAACCTTTTCAGAAAGGAGGGGGTGAGGTGAAAGACCCAAGAGGGAGTCTTGGGGGCTCAGGATATGACCCAAGGGGAATAAGACACAGACCTCACTTTGAGGAGATGCCCTTTTTGAGTGCCCTGCTGGTGAGGGGATGGGGCCCAGGCCTGCTGAGCTTCTGTGCGGGGCCCTCCTGGGGCTGGGTTGGGCTCCCTGGGCCAGCAGGGCAGTGTGCTGGGAGGGAAGGCCAGCTCACTGCCTGGCTAATGAGTGAGGCTTTGGAAATGCTACTGCAGCATTTCTGCTAAGCCTGGCCTCCCCCGCCTCCAGCCCGGGGCCCTCGATCATTCCAGACAGACACATGTATTTATTTTTCACTCTTTTGCATTTCTCATTTCCCTCTCGTGTCCTCCCTCCCATCACGAGTCTCCTAAACCTGCCCTGCAATGCGCCTCTTTCTCTGATGTCTCCAGCTCCATGTCAACCATGTCAGAGTTTCCAGGAGAAGCTGGGGAAGGGGTTTGGAGGACCCCTCTCCCTCTTGATGCGTGGTACCCAGGGGTTTCCTGCTCAGGGCCAAGAGCATGGTCCCAGGTGCCTCCACCCCCTTATACAGAGAGAGGAATAAACTATTGAGTGCCTGTTACATGCCTGGCTTCCCCAGCCACTTAAATTCATCATCTTTAATTCTCACAGCATCTCTGAGAGGCAGAATGGACCCCTCCTAATTACAGGTGAGGAAACAGATAAAAGAGCAGAAAAGACTTGACTGAAGGTACAGACTGAGGAAGGGTGGGACTTGAACTCAGGATTATCTGAGGCCAGAGTCCTTCTGCGGCCAGAGTCAGCACAGGCACAGTGACTCTAGGGATGGCGGCCTGATGTATTGAATAACAATCAGTACGACAATTATTACCAGTTTGACCTTGGGCACAGCACAAACCCATTTGTCCCTCAATTTTCTTATTTGTGAAATTAAGGTGAAACTACCAAACTCTTGGGATCGGTTTGAGAATTCAAGTAGATTTCCATTTTTCAGCACCCAGGACAGTATCTGGCCCATGCTAAGGACTCAGTAAATGCAGGCTGTTGTTGAGTTAGGAGGTGCTGCGTGCCAGTTGACACAATCATGCCTCCCTCACACACATACTGAAATGGAAGACGATACGTAAAGCATCAGGCTCATAGTGGGTGCTCAATGAACAGTGGCTGTTGTAACTGTTATGAGAGAGGGTCTCCCTGTCACTCCCCTCTGCATGTTTCCCTCCACCCTCTGGGCAAGGCACAATACCCAGAGGGCTGAGTGACTCCCCAGGGCTATGGCTGAGCCCCCCCCATCTCTCTCTCCCTGGCTGCATCCCAGGGACTCCTTCGGGGATGATGGAATCATTTCCCCAATCTGGGATTCTTTACTGCAGCCATTACAGTTAATGCCAACATGTGGGGATGGTGAAGGGTCAGTGATTCACAACTAGTTCCCCAGGACCCACACCCCTTCCACCTTCTTCACAAGTTGGCAGCTCCCCAGAATTGACAGACAGAAGGGTGCCAGGCTTGTGGTTGCTGGAGGACCACCTTGAGGTCATCCCTCCTTGGTTCAGCAGTTTGCATTTTACAATGCTCCATCATGTCCATTCTCTCCTTCAGTCCTCACGCCATCTCTGTGATGTGACACAGTGGTGTGCTGGTACATGTTTAACCACCAGCCCCAGGGGGTGGAGGGGCAGGGAGGAATACCCTGCTTTGTAGTGTTTGCTGATTTCCATGGTGTAAATACTCCCACCATGGCCAATTTCAAGCTACCAATGTGATATCAAGAGGATCGCAAAACTCCTGAAGATCAATACTTGGCTCTTGTGAGCTGATATGAGATGATCCCAGCACAATATGGCATCATTACCATTTTATAGGTGAGGAAACTGCTGTGCATAGTGAAGAGTGAAAATGTGAATTAATACTGGGTAAGAATGAAATCCATCATATCATATCATTATAATGACAGATTGTGTTTATTGAATGACTACTTTGTGTTGGATATTGTGGGGCTCTGGGATTTAAGTCCTTTGTGTATATTATCTTGTAGAATTTATATAATAAAGCCTTGAAGTAAGCTCTATTAAAATTTCCACTTTATATCTGAGGAATTGGAAGCCAAGTAAAGTAATCAAACACTTTGTGCCTTAATTTCCTCATTTGTGAAATGAGGGTGAGAGGACTACCCAACCCTCAGGACTGTTGTGAGAACTCAAGTAGATTTCTATGTTCAGGACCAAGGACAGTACCTGGCTAAATTCACGGCAAGGAAACAGGAAGGGTGGGATTCAAACGCAGGTCAATCTGATGTGACAACCCACATGTATCCTACCTTCTAAGGCAGGGATCAATAGGAGTAGCAGTAGACAGAAAGCAAGAGAGGGAAGAGTCAGAGACAGGAGAGGGAGGGAAGAGGAGGGGAAAGGCAAGGAGTTGTATTGAGCGTTCGCCCTCCCCAATAAGCCAGTTCATGCCCAGACTTCCAGAAGCAGGGATGAGCTGTCAGCCAACCCTTCTG